GTTCTGTTTTAGGTTGATTTTTATATATTGCTTTAGAAGGCAACAAGTTACTTTTAGAACGTAATTGTATATTATCATCAAAGATTTGATTATAAGTATTGACAGTATCAGTACTAAAATCAGAATAAATATTATTTTCTTCAATAATACAATTAATNTTAGTTACAGGCATAAAAACAGCATCTAAAGGAATTGGATTACTTATTGAAGTTTTTACTTGAAATAATTTTGAATCGTTCGGCCTACAGCCTAATAGTTTAGTTGTTGCTTGGTTTGTTTTTATTCTATCTTTACAATTGTGTTTGCCTAGTAATAATTTTCGTGAAGAAAAAGCTGCTTTTTTCTTAAAATTTTGTAGTAAAAGATTACGTTTTTTTAAAACACTAACGTCTAAATTGTGTGGTTTTTGTTTAATAAAATTTTTGCCTTCATTAATATTTAATTTCATGTTTAACAAACCATCTTCAGCTAATGTTGCTATATATTGATTTGGGTCGACGCATTGTAAACCCGATGGTAACTTTAAATCCATTGCTTTAATAACACGAGGACCACTAACATTTAAAAATCCTCTATATGTTTTTTTAGTAGAACGTAATGTTATATTCGTAAAACTAATTTCTTGTTTTTTTAACACAATACTTTGTAGATTACAAATTAAATCTAAAACAGTTTCTTTCATACCTGGTAAACTTGAATATTTATGCAAAATGCCTTCAATTTCAATAGAAGTAATTGCTAAGCTTGTTAATTCTGATAAAAGAGTACGTCTTATATCATTTGCTATTGTTTGGCTTAAACTATCATCGAAAGGCCCTAGATAAAAACAACCATAAAAACTAGTATTATTTTCAATGCGTGATTCTTTACAAGCAATAAAAAAATCAGTTGTTTGCATTTTAGCCATAATATTTTTAAAATTTGTATTTAGTATCATTTTAGTTTAGCATTATTGATTTTGTTTCTATTTTTTTAACTCTAAATATTCAATATTTATAGTAAAATGGGTAAATAGCAAATATGCT